GGACTTCTATGAGAGAGACATTATAAACTTTAAAATGGCAACAAACGGTGCATATTTGGCCCAAATCGGACATTATGATCCTTTACTACACTGTCGTACAGGGTATTGTGTCTTTGTGCATATGTTTGTAACAGGCAAAAGGAAACGAGATAGACACATGGTTCCTTTTGAGAATACGCATAGAATCACTTTCTGAGTCGATTTATGCATATCCGTCCGTCCGTCTGTCCGTCCATGTATTTTGTGAACAAAGTACAGGTCGCATTTATGATCCGATTTGGATGAAATTTGGCATAGGTCACTTATTTGGCCCAAGAACGAACCCTATTGAAATTGGGAAAAATCGGTTCAGATTTAGGTATAGATCCCATATATATTTTCGTCCGATTTAATGTAAATGGTGAACCAAAGTCGCTATATATCACTCGATTTGCACGAAATTTGGCTCAGCATAATGAATTTGGTCTAGAATAATGTGTGTTAAGTTTCCTGAAAATCGGTTCAGATTTAGATATAGCTCCTATATATATCTCCGTCCGATTTCATGTAAATGGTGCACCAATGTCCCTATATATCTTTCGATTTGCCCGAAATTTGGCACAGCGTAATGAATTAAGTCTGGAATGATGTGTGTTAAGTTTCCTGAACATCGGTTCAGATTTAGATATAGCTTCTATAACAAAATGTAAAGTTTAGTATAGGTTGCAGAATGACGTGTTTGTGGATCCAAATTCATTTTACTGGTCCTTTAAAAGTGTGACGTCTGTTAGGATTCATCTGTTGAATATACCCAAAGTGGTGAGGGATATCACATAGTCGGCCTTGTCCGACTTTACTATGTCCTTACTGGTTTTCTATAGAAAAAACTCCGAACCAATGGTCCTGATTTTTATGTAAAAAAATAAAACCGAACCAGGTGTCCTAAATTTTTTTCTATAGAAAAAACTACGAACTAAGGTTCCTGAATTTGTTTCTATGAAAAAACTACGACTTTCTTCTAGAGAAAAAAATGCAAAAAACCCAGTCGAATCTGTCTAAGTATTTCTCTATAATCCATACAACGGTTACTGAATTTAAAAAGATGTTTTTTTTTTTTTTGAATAGCACTATATATTCTAATTGATGTTCCCAGAGCCTAAAAGTATGCACCACACATTAACTCAATTCTCCACAATCTCTACATTATGAATTTTAATATTTATTTTGATTATTTTTGAAATTCTGAGATTACAATAGACACGAATCAGATGTTTTAGCATAATATTGCGCCTAAAAGTATGCACCACACATTCAATAAACAATCGATTGAATAATATTTCCATAATTATAGCTATGTTTTCGCTCCAGACTTTTTGTTTGTTTGGCCTTGGCAAAGGAATTAGCCTATTGTGTTTATGGACATAATATCAATAATAAATTTTCTGAACGAGAGGACTGAAAGGACTCCAGAGTTGAGAAAAAAAAACACAGAATGTCAAGTACAAAGCGAATAATAAACAAAAACGAAGTAAATTTATTATCTAATTTACAACAGACGACGAACAAAAAACGAACCGAAGAACACATTAAATCGAGAAATTTCACAGCCAACAACATTAGTAATGACCTTGGCTAAAATAAAGTTTTTTTTAACTTTCAAAACCGAAATCTTTCTCCCCTTTTCCCCAAATGCCCAATTGCGAATGGGAGGGTAAATAAAGTTTTGTTGTCTCCTTTTTGTGAGGCATGTTGAACTTATCCTTGAAAGTACAGAACTGAAGAAAAAACGAGCAAAAGACAATGAAGTGTAGTGTAGCTTTTATTGTTCGTGTGTTACTCTAGCAACACTTATTCAAATAATAAATAATGTCTTTGTTAAGGACAAACCTTTTGTGAGTATTCAAGTCCTACCTAGAACAAAGACAAACATTGTCAAGTCGAATAGAATGGCTAACTGCTGGTATTTGCTAGCTGGTCATGGCCCCAGTCTTAGGTGTAGGCGATGATGATGATGGGATTGTCTGTTGTCAATGTCAATGAATTTCATGGAAAGCCCTGAAGTCCTTGAAGACAAGAAAATATTTGACAAACAAATTATTTGTTCGGAATTCATTCTATTGGTTATGTTTGAATTACAAATACAATTTCTCCACCTCCAAAATTACGAGGCCAAGGGCTCAACAAAAATGACATCACAGAGTCTCTTTTTGAAAAGTTTTGAAGAGAATATCAGTCCACAGTAACAGAACAGATAATTAATTGGCATACAAAGATTCGGTTCGGAGTTTTTTTTCTAAATTCAGACCCTTAGTTCGGAGTTTTTTTTCTATAGAAAAAAATTCAAGACCTCTGGGGTCGGCGATTTTTTTCTATAGAAAAAAATTTCAAGACCCTTGGGTCGGCGATTTTTTTCTATAGAAAAAAATTTCAAGACCCTTGGGTCGGCGATTTTTTTCTATAGAAAAAATTTCAAGACCCTTGGGTCGGCGATTTTTTTCTATAGAAAAAAATTTCAAGACCCTTGGGTCGGCGATTTTTTTCTATAGAAAAAAATTTCAAGACCCTTGGGTCGGCGATTTTTTTCTATAGAAAAAAATTTAAGACCCTTGGGTCGGCGATTTTTTTCTATAGAAAAAAATTCAAGACCCTTGGGTCGGCGATTTTTTTCTATAGAAAAAAATTCAAGACCCTTGCGTCGGCGATTTTTTTCTATAGAAAAATATTCAAGACCTTTGCGTCGGCGATTTTTTTCTATAGAAAAGAAATCAAGACCCTTGGGTCGGCGATTTTTTTCTATAGAAAAAAATTCAAGACCCTTGGGTCGGCGATTTTTTTCTATAGAAAAAAAAATTCAAGACCCTTGGGTCGGCGATTTTTTTCTATAGAAAAAAATTCAACACCCTTGGGTCGGCAGTTTTTTTCTATAGAAAAAATTCAAGACCCTTAAGTCGGCGGTTTTTTTCTATAGAAGAAAAATTCAAGACCCTTGGGTCGGCGGTTTTTTTCTATAGAAAAAAATCAAGACCCTTGGGTCGGCGGTTTTTTTCTATAGAAAAAAATGCGCTCAGCAACAGGACTGAGGGCGTTTTTTTTTCTATAGAAAAAAATTCAAGACCCTTGGGTCGGCGGTTTTTTTCTATAGAAAAAAATTCAAGACCCTTGGGTCGGCGGTTTTTTTTCTATAGAAAAAAATTCAAGACCCTTGGGTCGGCGGTTTTTTTTTTTATAGAAAAAAATTCAAGACCCTTGGGTCGGCGGTTTTTTTCTATAGAAAAAAATTCAAGACCCTTGGGTCGGCGGTTTTTTTCTATAGAAAAAAATTCAAGACCCTTGGGTCGGCGGTTTTTTTCTATAGAAAAAAATTCAAGACCCTTGGGTCGGCGGTTTTTTTCTATAGAAAAAAATTCAAGACCCTTGGGTCGGCGGTTTTTTTCTATAGAAAAAAATTCAAGACCCTTGGGTCGGCGGTTTTTTTCTATAGAAAAAAATTCAAGACCCTTGGGTCGGCGGTTTTTTTCTATAGAAAAAAATTCAAGACCCTTGGGTCGGCGGTTTTTTTCTATAGAAAAAAATTCAAGACCCTTGGGTCGGCGGTTTTTTTTATAGAAAAAAATTCAAGACCCTTGGGTCGGCGGTTTTTTTCTATAGAAAAAAATTCAAGACCCTTGGGTCGGCGGTTTTTTTCTATAGAAAAAAATTCAAGACCCTTGGGTCGGCGGTTTTTTTCTATAGAAAAAAATTCAAGACCCTTGGGTCGGCGGTTTTTTTCTATAGAAAAAAATTCAAGACCCTTGGGTCGGCGGTTTTTTTCTATAGAAAAAAATTCAAGACCCTTGGGTCGGCGATTTTTTTCTATAGAAAAAAATTCAAGACCCTTGGGTCGGCGATTTTTTTCTATAGAAAAAAATTCAAGACCCTTGGGTCGGCGATTTTTTTCTATAGAAAAAAAATTCAAGACCCTTGGGTCGGCGGTTTTTTTCAATAGAAAAAAAATTCAAGACCCTTGGGTCGGCGGTTTTTTTCAATAGAAAAAAATTCAAGACCCTTGGGTCGGCGGTTTTTTTCAATAGAAAAAAAATTCAAGACCCTTGGGTCTGCGGTTTTTTTCAATAGAAAAAAATTCAAGACCATTGGGTCGGCGGTTTTTTCAATAGAAAAAAATTCAAGACCCTTGGGTCTGATTTTTTTTCTATAGAAAAAAATTCAGGACCCCTTGCGTCGGAGTTTTTTCCTATAGAAAAAAATTCAAGACCCTTAGGTCGGATTTTTTTTTAAAGCAAAAAATTCAAGAACCTTGGGTTGGGCTGTTATTCCTATAAAAAAAAATTTAATTTTTTCTATAAAAATTCAGAACCCTTATACAAAAAATTTCAGTCTTAAGGGTCCTGAATGATTTTTTCTATAGAAAAAAGTTGCGGACCTAAGGTTCTGATTTTATCTGGAAACATAGGTTCCAGAATTTTTTAAAAATTTAAAAATTTTTTCTATAGAAAAAATTTCAGTCCTGTAGGGTGCGGACCTAAGGGTCCTGGATGATTTTTTCTAAGAAAAAAGTTGCGGACCTAAGGGTTCTGAATGATCTTTTCTATAAAAAATATTTCAGTCCTAAGGGTCCTGAATTTTTTCTATAGAAAAAAGTTGCGGAACTAAGGGTACTGAATTCTGTCCCAAGGGTCTATAGCAGAATGATAAGGACCTCAGGGTCCTGAATTTTTTTCTATAGCAGAAAGTTGCGGACCTTAGGGTCCTGATTTTTTTTTTCTATAGAAAAAAAAGTTGCGGACCTCAGGGTCGTGATTTTTTTCTATAGGAAAAAGTTGGGACCTAAGGATCCTGATTTTTTTCTATAGAAAAAAGTTGCGGACCTAAGGGTCCTGAATTTTTCTCTGTAGAGAAAAGTTCAGTCCTAAGGGTTCCGATTTTTTTTTTTCAAAGAAAAAAATGTCGCATTTTTTTCTATTAAAAGTTTGTCCTGAAAATGTGTTCCCTTTAAATTTTCAAAATCTCTTTTTTGTACTCACCAATCTTTGCTATACTGGCCGACAATATCCATACACCAATAATGAATGGTGTCTTCACTCTATCGAATTCAACCTGAGCCAATGGATAACGTTCATGGCCCCCAGTATGACCGCCATCATCATCACCATGATCATTATGGTCACCACCATCGTTGTCGTCGGAACGTGGCACCGGGTGACCTCCTGTCGTTGATGATTTAATATCATTTCCTGCTGCTGCCTGAGGTTCGCCACTACCAATGTATTTTTGTTGTTTTATGGCATTGCCGTTAACACTTTCCGGTGGTAGAGCGGTATTCGATGCTGGTAAAGACTGATAAGGAAGAAAAAAAATCGAAAAAATATAATCAGTTAATTATTTTTATTATCGAATGTTAAAGGGGGGATTATTTTATGACTACATCGAAATTAATGAGTGATTTATGAATGGGGGGGCTTTTCAAAGAAATTGTTACGAATTTATGGTTCCATAATGTAGGGGGATCTATTTGGGGACTTTCGAATATTATTGATGGAGATACCAATATCTTAACCCTACAACATTTTACACATAAAAAATTCCCCATTTTGGGCTTTTAAAATTTAATTTCCTCCCTCCTTCGTTTCCCCCCCTCTTTCCTTCATATATCCTCAATCGGAAAATTATGTATTCCGCCTGTCATAGCAGGTGGCTTTTCATTTTTGTATAAACACTTAAAATTCAGAAGAAAATGAAAAGCTTTTCATTCAAATGCATGGCAGGACATTAAGGCCAATATTATCTCAGCATTAGCATTTAAATATCCTAGACACACACACACAATTTTACCCACACATATATAACCATCCTGCAGCCATCTGAATGGCATATTAAAAGTAATTTTCTAAAGTGATGGCAGCTGTTCAGGACGACTCATTTTCTTAATGAGAATTTGTATGTGAAAAAATCAGGACCCTTAGAACCATTAATTTTTAAAATAGAAAAAATTCAGGACACTTAGGACTGAAATTTTTTCTACAGAACTTTTTACAATAGAAAAGAATTTAGGAAATTTAAGACCCTTATGTCCGCAACTTTTCCTAAAAAAAAATCAGGACACTTAGGTCCGCAACTTTTTTCTAAAAAAAAAAATTCAGGACCTTAGGTCCGCAACTTTTTTCTAAAAAAAAATTCAGGACCCTTAGGTCCGCAACTTTTTTCTATAGAAATAAATTCAGGATCATTTTTTCTAAAAATAAATTCAAGACACTTAGGTCCACAACATTTTTCTAAAAAAAAATCAGAATCCTTAGGTCCGCAACTTTTTTCTAAAAAAAAAAAAAATCAGGACCCTTAGGTCCGCAACTTTTTTCTAAAAAAAAAATCAGGACCCTTTGGTCCGCAACTTTTTTCTATAGAAATAAATTCAGGACCATTAGGTTCGCGACTTTTTTCTATAGAAAAAAAGATCAGGACCCTTTGTTCCGCAACTTTTTTTTATAGAAAAAAAATTCAGGACCATTAGGTTCGCAACTTTTTTCTATAGAAATAATCATTCAGGGCCCTCACGTCCGCAACTTTTTTCTACAGAAAAAAATCATTCAAGACCCTTGGGACTGAACTTTTTTCTATAGAAAAAAATTCAGGACCCTTAGGTCCGCGACTATTTTCTATAGAAAAAAATTCAGTACCCTTAGGTCCGCAACTATTTTCTATAGAAACAAATTCAGGACCCGCAACTTTTTCTGTACAAAAAATCATTCAGGACCCTTAGGTTCGCAACTTTTTTCTATAGAAAAAATCATTCAGGACCCTTAGGTCCGCAACTTTTTTCTGTACAAAAAATCATTCAGGACCCTTAGGTTCGCAACTTTTTTCTATAGAAAAAATCATTCAGGACCCTTAGGTCCGCAACTTTTTTCTGTAGAAAAAAATTCAGGACCCTTGGGACGGAACTTGGAAGGAACATTTTTCTATTGTAAAAAATTCAGGACCCTTGGGACGGAACTTTTTTCTATAAAAAAAAATGCAGGACCCTTGAAAATTAACATTTTGAAATAGAAAAAAAATCAATAAAGGCCAAAGAACAATATTGCTACCTAGCACCCGGTCCGTCTGTTTGTCAGGCCTGTCAGCCATTCCAACAACAAAATTACCATAAAAAAACAACAAAATTATCATCAAGGTAAAAAACCAGAAAAAAAATCGAATTGAAATTCCGTTGTTTGTTTTCCAATTGATAATGGCTCCATAGCAATGGTTATGATGAGGTTGTTTGATAATGACGGGCTGTCTGTCTGCCAGCTCGTCCGTCCGTTCGTCTCCTCTGGAGGCAACAAAACTGCTATGACAATAACATACAATGTTCCAACAGCAGCACCTACTACTGTCTGCGAAATTCTGCGAAAAAATATATTTATCTGATTGTCTGTCTGCTTGACAGTCCTCCAACCTGCCTCCCGGTCTTTCGAACCATCGAGCCATCCATTTGCTTCCATTTCAAACGGGTCTGTCTTTCCTAGTTTTTTGTTGATATTGACACTGTATTTACTGCCATAACTAGAGCGCGTTCGTTGGTTCGTCAGTCATCCGCACTGTTCTTGTTGTTGTTGGGAGCTTCGAAAATAAAACTATTGTAACCAAATTAAATGCAAACAAATGCGACGGCAACGACGTCGAATAACATCATCAGACCAAACAAGACGCCAATAAAAATTTAACCGTAACAAGGTAAATAGAAACCGAAGATAGGAACAGATATCAGAAACAAAGTCGACAACAACAACTTCTACAACACCTAGAACGAATGTCTTGCTAATTGGTAAAGGAAATAAGGAAAACTTCGACAGGGCGAATTATAGGAAAAATTAACCTACAGAAAAAAATTCCAGACCCTTGTGTCGGCGAGGGTCTTGAGGTCTTGAACTTTTTTCTATAGAAAAAAACAGTCCGACCCAAGGGTCTTGAATTTTTTTCTATAGAAAAAACAGTCCGACCCAAGGGTCTTGAATTTTTTTCTATAGAAAAAAAGTGCCGACACAAGGGTCTTGAATTTGTTTCTATAGAAAAAACAGTCCGAACCAAGGGTCTTGAATTTTTTTCTATAGAAAAAAATTCCAGACCCTTGGGTCGGCGATTTTTTTCTATAGAAAAAATTCAAGACCCTTGGGTCGGCGATTTTTTTCTATAGAAAAAAATTCAAGACCCTTGGGTCGGCGATTTTTTTCTATAGAAAAAAATTCAAGACCCTTGGTTCGGACTGTTTCTTCTATAGAAACAAATTCAAGACCCTTGGGTCGGCACTTTTTTTCTATAGAAAAAAATTCAGAAAAAAATCGCCGACCCAAGGGTCTTGAATTTTTTTCTATAGAAAAAAATCGCCGACCCAAGGGTCTTGAATTTTTTTCTATAGAAAAAAATCGCCGACCCAAGGGTCTTGAATTTTTTTCTATAGAAAAAAATCGCCGACCCAAGGGTCTTGAATTTTTTTCTATAGAAAAAAATCGCCGACCCAAGGGTCTTGAATTTTTTTCTATAGAAAAAAATCGCCGACCCAAGGGTCTTGAATTTTTTTCTATAGAAAAAAACAGCCCTGGCTGAGCGCATTTTTTTCTATAGAAAAAAACAGCCCTGTGGCTGAGCGCATTTTTTTCTATAGAAAAAAACAGCCCTGGCTGAGCGCATTTTTTTCTATAGAAAAAAACAGCCCACCCAAGGGTCTTGAATTTTTTTTATAGAAAAAAAAATTCGACCCAAAATTTTTTTTATAGAAAAAAACAGCCGACCCAAGGGTCTTGAATTTTTTTCTATAGAAAAAAACAGCCGACCCAAGGGTCTTGAATTTTTTTTATAGAAAAAAACAGCCGACCCAAGGGTCTTGAATTTTTTTCTATAGAAAAAAACAGCCGACCCAAGGGTCTTGAATTTTTTTCTATAGAAAAAAACAGCCGACCCAAGGGTCTTGAATTTTTTTCTATAGAAAAAAACAGCCGACCCAAGGGTCTTGAATTTTTTCTATAGAAAAAAACAGCCGACCCAAGGGTCTTGAATTTTTTTCTATAGAAAAAAACAGCCGACCCAAGGGTCTTGAATTTTTTTCTATAGAAAAAAACAGCCGACCCAAGGGTCTTGAATTTTTTTCTATAGAAAAAAACAGCCGACCCAAGGGTCTTGAATTTTTTTCTATAGAAAAAAACAGCCGACCCAAGGGTCTTGAATTTTTTTCTATAGAAAAAAACAGCCGACCCAAGGGTCTTGATTTTTTTTATATATAAAAAAATCGCCGACCCAAGGGTCTTGAATTTTTTTCTATAGAAAAAACAGTCCGACCCAAGGGTCTTGAATTTTTTTCTATAGAAAAAACAGTCCGACCCAAGGGTCTTGCATTTTTTTCTAAGGAAAAAAAGCCTCATTCTCAAGAATCGAATTTTTTTCTATTGAAAAACCTTAGTCCCAAGGTTTCTGAATGATGTTTTCTATGAAAATGGGGGATTTGTGTAAATAATACA